AATAGTTTTTCGTTATATCCTGGGAGGAATTAATCCGAATACCTTGAGCAAAAATGACGGGATTAAATTCCTTAAGTACATACAAGAAATTCGTGGGCTCGAAATTTTGTCAAATGAACTTAAAAAGAAAATACATGACATAATTTTCAGACGAAGAGAGTTCAGCTGAATTTAATCTTGTCGATAAATTCTTGAATATTTAAGTTGTGAATGAGAAAATGCACCTTTTGGATTGCACCTCTCTGTCTCACTCTTTCATTGTCTATAACTTTAGAGGCTTGACTTCACTTTTTATATACTAAACATTCTGAAATCTCTCCCCTCTTCTCTGCATTGTTTTTCCAAAACAAGTGTGATTTATTTCGTCATTTGAGATCGTCGAAATTCTGTAATTTAAAGTGCCATTATAACAGAGTAGTTTTTTCATCCTACGAATTAATCTGAATACCTTAGACAATAATGAGAGGATTAAAATATTTAAGGGCACACAAGAAATTTCTAGGCTCGAAATAAATCATGTTTCTATTTTAAAAGATTATTATGCTCATATTATTTTACACTTTACATAATTTAATGTTTTATTTTGAAGACAGTTTACTAACATAAATATAATTTTGCCACTGATCGTTACTACTTAGTAGGCGCCTTCGTTGACTACTAAGTTTTTACCTTATTACAAATAGAATAGTAAATTTTGATAGTACGTTTCTCCTACCTTGTATATTAAAATCCAAAAAGATATTCCGATGAAGATTATATTATCTCATGTTACATGAACAAAACAAATAGTACTAGAATCTGACATGTTAATTGAATTTGAGTGTGATAGGAATAAAAGAGATTTTCTTAAAACTATTGGGAATATTATGCTATTTATTATATATAAAAGACACATGTATAGAGTAAAAGTGAGATTAGAAAATTTGGGTGTAATGGAGAGTAAGTTTGAGGTTTGAAATAATAAGCACGTGATTAGATGTGTCTCATTGACCTGTACTTTTATAATTAAAAAATGACATCTTATTCTTTTACATTTCACATCATATACATTAAGTTAAATATAAAATGTTAGGGAAGAACCAAGAAAAAGTTACTTTCATTGTCCCAATTACTATGACTTCCGCCCAATTTTTTTTATCCTACTACGGTCAAACTTTTTTATAACAATTTTATTTGTTTTGATATTTTTTTAACTGTTATAGTAAAGTTTTTTGTCTTTAGGAAACAACCTATCTACCCCTCGGGGTAGGGGGAAGACCTGCTTACGTATTACTCTCCCCAAACCCCACTAGTGAAATTTTACTCGGTCATTGTTGTTGTTGTATAGTGAAGTATTGTTATAGAGGATATATATTATAACATAACATAAAACTCGATTCCGAGAAAACTTTGCTCTTATAATAAATCGTTGTTATATAGAGATTTTTTTATAGAGAAATCTGACTGTATATGTTTATAAAAATTTCTCAATTATCAAAAACTCAATGTCATTTAATTAAATAATTTAAAATTAAAGATACAGTCAATAATTTTTTTGAGAAATAATAATAATAATAATAATAATAATAATAATAATAATAATAATAATAATAATAATTTTGAGACAAGATGATAAAGGCAATAGAACAAAACATGGGTGTGTGGACCAACCGAGCATCCTTCACAGCATAGTCAACAATTTCTAAGTACCCGTGACCCTCACTTGGATCTTGTGATTATTTGTAAGGTCATTTCTTTATTTTCCATTTAATTAAAACTTAATTTATTAATTAAAAACTCTCATACCAGAAGTATAGGATATATGTTACTAAATAATTTAGAAAAGGCATGTAAATAGTTCATTTATACACGTTTTTATTTAGGAAAAAAGATAGAGAGAGATGTGGTTTTTCAAATTAAAGTTTGAGTAATATTTTTCTAAGTTAAAAACATTAGGAGTATAAATTACCACAATAAATAGAATAAAAGTCTAAAGAAGAATTAACCCAAATAGCTGTCAATCTAATTTCTTAAACTAAAAATAGCCGATGTATAATATGTATATAATTCATATAAAATATATGTGTAATTGTGTATAATCTATGTATAGGGCTAGAAAAAGTGAACTTTGGCTCTGGCCAGCTGTTTGTGTAACAATATATATTTGATATATGACTTTTGCAAATCTAGTAATTTAAAGTTATTTTCCACTTGAAACAAATAGATGTCTAAATGTTCACGACAAAATGCATGTTATAGAATCTTTTTCAAAAAATAAAAAAAAATTAAAAAAAATTGAAGGACGTGAAATGAGAAAGAGTAAAATTGTTTATTTCATCGAAATATGCACTAAAAAAGTGGAAGTAAATGATATTCAAAAAAAATATTCTTGGAAGTGAAACACAACAAAGGAAATGGTTTTGGATTTTCCTTATATTTGAAAATTATTGACAGAAAAATTGGAAGGACAAAGCAATAGATGGTGAAACAAAGGACACATGATTGAGAAGCCCTAAAGAATAATCCAAAAAGTCAAAAAAATGCAACAAAAAAAAAAGAAAAAAAATTAAGTTGAAAAAAAAAAAAGAGTGAAAATAACTAGGCTTTGGGAATTGGTGGTAATGTGTCAGATGGACTTATCTTTTGGACCATTTTGTTGATTGTCTCATCATTTTTTTACAGTTTGGTGTCTTTTTTTGTTCAAACAACCACAACATTCTCCTTAGATTCCCTTTCATCTTTCTACTTTTATTATTTCAAATTCTACCTTCTTAAAATATTTTTTGGCCAATTACATTGGTAGTCTTTTAATTCCCCGTTATATTGTCGGTCCCAAATTCGAATAAGAAATAACTTTAATTGGCTAACGCTTGGCGGTCAGCATAAACCTAGAGCCCATTTGGACATAACAAATTTTTTCACTTTTTTCGAAATCAGTATTTGGCCATAAAATTACCAATTTTCACTTGAAGATGAATTTTGAAATTTTTCGAAAATTTGAAAAACTCCAAAAAGCTGCTTTTCAAAATTTTCACTCAGATCACTCATAAAACTTCAAAAACAACCCAAAATTATATTCATGTCCAAACTCAACTCTAATTATCAGATATCATTTTTACTTAAAAAAGAATTCACTTGTTTTTTAATTTTACAATTCTTATGTCCAAACGCCCACCTAGTCAATTTTCGATAACTTTTCATAATATAAATAACATTGAGACTTGCTAGAAATGAATATAAATGGAGAATCATAATTAATAAGAATTATAAACATAATCCTAATTTATTTGGGATTGAAGCGTAATTACTTGACGTACATTTATAATGCTTTCTTAAACTATCCTTGTCCAACGAAAATACAAAACTTTACTTCTCTAAACTTTTTACAACAAGTTGCACCATATATTAAAACATATATTTCTAGACGCTATTATATTTAATCGTTTAATATTTCATATGTTATCTTCAAAGCTTGTACTAAGTCAAAACAAAACCTCTATTTTTAGACCAAAAGAGAAAAATGAAAAGTTATGGTTTTGTTTTTTCTGTTATTATAATTATATATTGAAACTAAGATGCATGGTTTATGTAATACATGTTAATGATGTTTGTTTTTTTCTCTTGACGTGATATGTTTCACAATCTGAGGATATAGAAAAGAATGAATAAATTATTAATGTACATAGTACTACTTAACATAATAAACAGTTTATTGAGTTAACTAAAAAGAAGTAATTTAAACTATGATTTGGAACTTATATACACTAATAGTTTACATATTTTGCACACCACTAGTGTATTTTAAATTGATATAGCAATGTATTTTAAATTATTATAGCAGATTTTATTTACTTTGTTTTCTAATTACCAAATTAATTAAGCTTATTATGAAAGTTAATCCAGTGTTCCAGCTTTACTTTAACCTAGTAGTGTAAAAAAAACTACACCGTCAGTGCACTAAAATTAAACTTCATAATAATAGCATCCAACTCAAAATTAACTCATATATACAAATAGTATAATGATTCTTTCACACTATCAGTATAATTTAACATGTTATAGCATATTGCACGCTTTGTTTTACTAGTTAGTAGTTCCACTCACTACAAAAATAGGAACAAAAGTTAACGACAGATACAAGTTCCGTCGTTAAATAATAAAAATTTCATTGCTAATCTTATTTAGCGACGTATTAATACAATGTTAATATATAGAAGTTTAACTCATCCAACTCTTAGTCTCCCCAACCCTTTCCCTACTCTCACTCCTCTCCCTCTCCAAGACTCCAACTATGGATTTGGGGGTGTGGGGACTAGCATAGGCGGATCCAAAATTTGAATTTTATGTGTTCAACTTCTGAAAAATTTAATATTGAAAATATTATATTGTTAAAGTTATGAGTTCATATCTACTATTTGTTTATTTTTTTAGATAATTTTCGCACATAAATTTATATTCCATATCAAAAGTATTGAGTTCGGATGAACCCGACACTGCTACGCTGGATCCGCCCCTGGGGACTAGAGCCAAAAAAGGAAAGAGGAAAGAAAACTTTTTATCACTCCCTAAAACACAAGGACCACCACAAAACTCCTAAGCCCACTAATAGTATCCAACTCAGAATTAACTCATATATACAGATAGTATAACGATTCTTTTACACTATCAATATAATGTAACATGTTATAGCATGTTGCATATCTTATTTTGCAAGTTACTAGTTCCACTCACTCAAAAACAAAAATAAAAACTATCGACCGACAAGTTCCGTCGTCAAAATAATAAAAATCCATCGCTAAACCTATTCATGACATATTAATACAATGTTAATATATAGGAATTTTTATATAACCCTTACCCTACTCTCACTCCTCTCTCTCTCTCTCTCCAAGAATCTAACTATGGGTTTGGGGGTTGGTGGGGTGGGGGGGTGGGGGGGGGGGTTAACTAGAAACC